AAAGTGTGAGTGGATTACAGAGAGGAATGGTTGGAGAAGAAGGGCTTTTACTTAATTTGACTTTCAACATAATTTTGATTTCATAACAAAGAGAATGAGAAACAAGTACAGAATTTGGGATAGAAAAATGCTAAGTTTTGAATCTGAAAGAGATGATTAGCAGAAGTGTGGAAAATGAATCCAATCATAGGGCTGTGAGAATCTAAAGCAAGAAGGCAGTTGGAAACACAGAGCAGAAAGGTTAAAAGCATGATGTGAGGCAGGCATAAGGCCATGGCAAGACTTCTACATTTTGCTGAAAAGGGGATCCACAAAGAGAGAAAGGAACTTTGTAATTAAGTTATTGTCATACTGCATGTATCACAGAAACTTCATCAAGAGCATGATGATAAAAACTGGCTCTGGAAGACGGTTTCAAGTTGCAAGGAAATCTAAAAGATATCAATAAATATTTTAATACACAAAAGTAAGATAAACTAAAAGAATCTGAGAAGTCTTAAGATACTGGCATACAAAATTAATGAACATTAATGTTAATAATCTTTCATATTAAATTCTTATATAATTTTTTGTTTAATAAATGTCAGTCCTATATAATGTGTTTTTGTGATATTACAAGATTTTTACACTAGAAATAATGTATACATAGTATTTATTATCCAGAAACTTGCAAGGTTTAGAGCAGATTCCGTGAAGCTACTGAACCTTGAATTTAGTATGTTACCATATGGCTAAGAAACATGAGGTCAAAATATTTTTTAGGCAGATTTTTTTGGAAAGAAATAAACTCTTTTTGTTTCTTGACACTAATTGATGAATAGCTTTACCCTCCCCTAAATTCTGTGCTTGAGGAATGTTTCTACTCCAGCTTAAAACAAGACATCAAAAATTGATGCCACCAATAGATTATTCATCTAATCCCTATTCTAATTTACCAAAAATAAATAGTAAATATATTTTTTGCTTCACTTTCATACCTAAATAGGGTGCCATCGAATTATACATCATAAAAAGTTTAAAAAGATCACATCTTCTCTCATCCCATTCCATCTTCGCATTTAATTTGGTTAATTCTTTTTCTGTCCTTTCAAAAATAAATATAAATATAAAACAAACAAACAAAATGACTTAACATTCAGCATAAATTCTGTGTTTTCCAGAATGTGCTTAGTAGGGAAAAAAGCATACTGTCATATGTTTGTAATTGCAGGGGGAAAGAACCATAAAAGTTACTTGTTTTCATATACCTTTTGTTTACTTTGCTTTCAACCTTCCTTTACTTTGCCCTATTATGTTTCTTCCAGCTTCACTGATGTATAATTTAAAAAATAAAAATTGCACATATTTAAGGTGTACTATGCCAAGATTTAAAATACATATATAGGCCAGGCGCGGTGACTCACTCCTGTAATTCCAGCACTTTGGGAGGCCAAGGTGGGCGTATCACAAGGTCAAGAGATCGAGACCATCCTGGCCAACACGGCAAAACCCCATTTCTACTAAAAATACAAAAAAAAAAAATTAATCGGGCGTGGTGGCACATGCCTATGGTCCCAGCTACTCGGGAGGCTGAAGCGGAAGAATCGCTGGAACCCAGGAGGCGGAGGTTGCAGTAAGTCGAGATTGCACCACTGCACTCCAGCCTGGAGGCAGAGCAAGATTCCATCTCAAAAAAAAAAAAAAAAAAAAAAAAAAAAAATATATATATATATATATATATATATATATATAATGTAATGATTACGACACTTTTAATTAACACATCCATCATCGCCTATGGTTACCATTAGCAGCTTTTAAGTGTCACCCTATTATTTCTGTTCCTACTTCTTAAGCGTCCTTTTGGTGGAAACTCCTAGTGGTAGGAGGAATGAAAAAAAGCATTTACATCCCTTTAGATTGTGTGACCTCTCTTTGCCTAAATGAGCATGTCATTTTCTGAGTTAGCAATATGGTATCAGTTATATGTTTCGAAGCAATAATCATCAAAAGTATAACATTTTAAGTAGCAGTGTTGACATATATAATCTTCTGTTATCATTTGTCTCTTTGGTAGGGAAAGTCTCAAGGCACAGGTTGTGAAACTGGCCTTCAAAAACCTCATAGGGTACAGTTCATTCCTTGTTTAATTCCCCACATTCCAGAGTCGGGCTTTCACCTTTACAGACTTAGATTCTGGTTTCATCAGTATTCTTGGAGTGGACATCTCTTAGATGGAGATATAAAATTTATTTATTCATTGCATTTAGAAAAGAAAATCCGAACTCAGAGACCTACAAGGTTCTAGTCAGTCTGATACTTCCTAGTTATTTGGCTTCATCTTATCTTGGTGTCCTTTCAGTACTAAAATCCAAACCTGTTCTGACCATTTGGATTTCTCTGATTCAAAAACTGTTCTCCCCTCACTTGCAAAACAAAAGTTCCAAGCCTTTAGTGCCTAGCTCAAATATCACCTCCTGACCATCCACTCTAAATTGCTCCTTCCCTCCTCCATTAGTTCTCTGTGTCTTATCACTATGTTCATTTCCTCCACTGTGTTTTTCTCAATGTGACTGCATCTTACCTGTCTCACTACTCTAGAACACAGGCTTTTTGAGGACAAGCAATTTGTCTGTCTGTTTTCTGAGGTAATGTATCCCCAGAATACATAATAAAGCTACTTACAAAGATAAGCACTTTATAAATATTTCATCTGAAAAGGAATTAATCCAGTTCACAAGATTTTGGTATAACAAAAACTGTCAATTTTTTTTTTTAGAAAGTTCATTCCTTTAATTTTCATAGATGGCACACTCTATACATTATCTGCCTGCAAGCAGAATTTCTTTAAAAGCCCAATGATAAAAAGAAAATTGTTTTTGAGCCTGGACTTAGAACAAAGAGTCTTAGATTAATATAAGAATTAATGGGAACAATTAGAATTCAGTAATACATCCAGGAACCTACAAATCAAAAGACTGATGGCTAAATACCTTCTCTAGAGGTAATGCTTGATTGGTCACTGGCAATCTTCTATGATGTCCCTTCTTTCTTTACTTGAACTACTGATCAACTGCCATACAGCTTAGTACTTTCATGCCCTAAGTAAGTTAATACATTCAGTCAAGTTACTGAAATAGTCATTCTGTGTTAATTAGAATCATGCTTCCACTTTCCAGTGTGTGTATGCTCTTGTGCCTGTGCATGTACACACTGGGTGATGGAAACCATGAGTTAAAGTTTGACTATCAGGCCAGGCAGGGTGGCTCATACCTGCAATCCCATCATTTTGAGAGGCCAAGGCAGGTGGATCACTTGAGTCAGGAGTTTGAGACCAACCTGGCCAACATGGTGAAATCCCATCTCTTTAAAAAAAAAAAATAGCTAGGCGGGGTGGTGTTTGCCTATAATCCCAGCTACCTGGGAGTCTGAGGTGGGAGAACTGCTTAAACTTGGGAGGCAGAGGTTGCAGTGAGCCGAAATTGTACTACTGTACTCCAGCCTGGGTGACAGAGCGAGACTCCGTCTCAAAAATATTAAATTAAATTAATAAAATTTGACTATCAGAGTTTGATCTTCTCTCCAAGTTCCTGCAGAATGATTTAACTCAAGCATCCAGGTACTAAGAATATATAAATGTCAAATTCATTGTGTGTATTATCTAATATTTTTTCTAAAAATCACATTAAGTTTGGCCACAGAGGAAAACTGGTTATGAAGAGCATGTAATCATTGTATACCTATGTGGGTGTAGGAAAATACAGGCACACACAAGTATTTACAGGTATAGTGTATACAGCAAAGAGAGAATAAAAAGTAGTAATATAGGATTATGAGAACTGCCTTTAAAGTACATTTAAATCTTTACTAATGACTTTATTGTCTTACTTAGAAAATCTTTGACTTACAAATTAAAGCTTGAGGACAAAGACCCTTAAAGGAACCATCCATTAGAAGATGCTATCACATTCTGACAAAAGGAAAGCATGAAGAACTAAAATAATCTGAATCTCTAAGGCATTTACAATTTGAAGAAAAAAATTTTCACAAAAGAATGTCTGACTTAATTCTTGCTACTTTCTCTGATTATAGTATTGCCATTGGAAATAATATATGTTATTCTGAGTTTCAAAAAGGTAACTCCAGTGCCAAACTATGTGTTGAGATTTCATTAGAGATGGTATCAATGGTGAGGGTGGCATCAATAAAACTAACCTGAATTATTACAATTTGGAAGTGGTTTGTTTTGCTCCTAGTACTATCCAGGTCCTACTACACTGCCTTCATTTTTTGTATTTGTGTCAAATTTTAATACTTTTCATCATAAAGAAAAAGTTTCTGTGACTTTCAGTCAAGAAAATAGTTCATTTTCTTCTCTTTTTATGAGACTCAATGTGGTAGCTTACATAAGGCATTTCAGCTGAGCCAACCAGCTCTTCTCCTCGAAGGGACTGGCACAGAATACAAGACAGGATTTTGGCACCAAGCCCACAGTAGTCTATATTTTTACCACTAATCATATACATTACCCCTGTCTTGACACTGAAAACACACATTCAGTGCCAATCATCTATTTTCAGGGAAAAATGCATATGCGTCTTGGGATAATTTCCATTTACAACTGGCAACTCAATCCACTGAATCAAATTGTACTCCTCGTTTTGATTCAAAGCCAATGTGGTATTGCCTACAATGTGAATTACAGGCACTGGTTTGCAACAATGAGATCACAATAAAGAAACGCAGGAGTTACTGAGAGTAAGAATTCTATACTCCAACACTATGTTAAACCATAAAACCTTCTCAAAATGGAATAATCATAAATGTCTTTCCTCCTTTTGTGGTGTTATCACATCCTCTCTTTTATAACATGAAGTTGTGAGATATAACAATTGTTAGGAATCTGGAATGGTTCTCACATTTAAAAAAATACTGGTGTATGCAATCTGAAAATCTAGGATCTCTAATACAATCTTGGCTACAAAGTGAAATAGAGAAGAAACATTAGCCAAAGGAAACTATAGACTTTAATAATATTTATTTTGTTTGTAGATTTACAGAGATGGGGTAAATTAGAGAACTTATAGACTCATAAACTTTGAGGCAGGAGGCAGTAATGTGGAAGAGAACAGAAATCAAATAGAAGAAGTGATTGCTGGTGGAGGGAAACCCCAATGTTGACAGAGATGGAAGGCAAATGCTTCTGAAAGCCGGTAAAGCCATTCGCTTCTGCAAAAGAAATGACACTTTATCTGGGACTGGAGGCAAAGAGCTACGATGGATACAAATAAAATTTGAAGATACAAGAGTTCAAAGAGGAAGGAATCCAGCAGTCCACTCTTATGCCTAAACTAAATCAAACACCATCCATTCCAAAGAGTATATACTCACAATGCCTTTTATTCCTTCCCATTTCCTTTATAGATTACAGTTATCTTTTTACTTACTCCTTTCTCCTCAGACAGAAGGCAGAAAAAAAAAAGCTTTAGTGACCTCAGCAAAATAAACTGTTCCTTGGCCAGTCTGAAAACATGTAAGACTGTCCAGTCCATTGAAAAGAACTGTCCACATTGTCCTTAAGGAGAGCTTCAATTCTTGAGTAGTCCTGGCATGTCCACCATCTGAGCTCTTCAACCTTACATAGAGTATATTGAGTCAGCAAGGTTTAGAGAACTAAAGCTCCCAGTTACTACTCTGACAAACCACGAATTTCCTAGTTTAAAAGCTGGAGCATCACACTAAACAGTTGTGTGTGGCAAGATGAAATACATCACCAAGAAAGCTCTTTACAAAGTATTTAAATATTAATCATGCCTCTGTCTTCAAAGATGATGTCCTCCCTTTTCGGTCAATAATCACTCATCTGACCAACCAAAAGAATACATAAGCCAATACTTTTGAAAATGTGTTTTCTACTTACTAGAAGAAAGTTATTATTATTATTATTTTTGAGACAGAGTCTCACTCTGTTGCTCAGGCTGGAGTGCAGTGGCACAATGGTCCAATCTCGGCTCACTGCAACCTCTGCCTCCTAGGTTCAAGTGATTCTCCTACCTCAGCCTTCACAAAAGCTGGGGTTACAGGTGCATGACAGCATGCCCAGCTAATTTTTGTATTTTTAGTAAAGACAGAGTTTTGCTGTTGGCCAGGCTGGTCTTGAAACCCTGACCTCAAGTAATCCACCCACTTTGGCCTCCCAAAGTGCTGGGATTACAGGTGTAAGCCACCATACCTGGACAGAAAGTTGTAATTTCTTAAAAAATAAAATCTGATATCTGATTGCTGAATAAACAATGAGATAGATAGATGATAATAGATGATAGACAAATGGATGGACAGACAGACAGATGAATAGTCAGGCAGGCCCTTTATGGATTGAGTGTCATCATACATAGTCTCAACGCAAATTGTTTAGCTTGTAATAGGGTTAAAATGTAAAATTTAGTTTTTGAATTTTATTTTAAATTATAAATATTTTAGTGTCCTTCTATATATACATATGTGTGTGTGTGTGTGTGTGTGTGTGTGTGTATACACATACATACAGCATTCCTGTCACATTTATCATGTGGAATACTAATGAGCAGTCTAAAGCTTTCATGTGAATCCTCTGAAACATTTCTATGGTAACACATTTGAGTTATTAAGGCTATAAGCCTGAATTTGAATGTGGTATTAACTGTATACTACTTTCAGTCCTAAATACTATAGGGTTATGAAAGAAAGTAGAAAGGCATCATTATAACCATGCGGGAACATAAGGAGTAGAATGATAACGCTCTGAAACATCAGAGGTCTGGCTTGGGTCGCATGCTCACACTCACCTAGGTGGGAAGATAGGAACTGGCGCCCTTCACTGCATCAACTGCAGTGGTTAAGAGCTCAGAGTAGAGCGCTATTGGTTAGGTACAAAAAACTTACTGGTTTTTTTGTAACTTTGAGCAAGTGGTTTAACCCTCTCTGTTTTGTTTTTGAGGATCTTTGTCTCTTAAATCGATATAATTATATGATGTATGTTATAAGGTTGATGTAAGAATTACATCAATTAATATAAATAAAACACTTAGGGCTGGATGGGTGGCTCACACCTATAATCCCAGCACTTTGGGAGGCCAAGGCAGGTAGATACCTGAGGTCAGGAGTTCGAGACCAGACTGTCTAACATGGTGAAACTCATCTCTACTAAAAATACAAAAATTAGCTTGGCATAATGGCAAATGCCTTTTTATCCCGGCTTACCAGGAAGCTGAGACAGGAGAATAGCTTGAACCTGGGAGGCAGAGGCTACAGTGAGCAAAGATCACACCATTGCACTCCAGTCTGGGTGACAAGAGTGAAACTCCATATCAGATAAATAAATAAAACATTTACAACAGTGCCTGGACTTAGCAAGTGTCATGCATAGTCATTATTAACAATATGATCATCAACATCGTTACTGATAATCTCACCCAGGGTCATATGGAATACAAGTACTTTTTCCACATGAAGTGAAAAGAAATACCAAGAAAGCAAATCAAGTTATTTACCATAGGGAACTAAAGATTTCCTTGAGGAGTAATGCTATAACCAGGTCATAGTGAGCATATCATTCAAGCAAGACTCAATCACATATGGTTACCCCTAAGCAAACTTTTGAAATACGACTTTAGAGACATCAGCCTCTCAAGTTTAGTATCAAATGACTATATGATAAATTTTCAGTAAGAGTTTTACATATATTATGGCATCCCATCCCTTCATACAAATCATGTGAGTAGAAATTATGTGTACCAGTTTACAGCTGAAGAAATGGCCTGAAAAAGGTTACATAACTTGCCCAAGGCTGCTCAGTTTAATAGAAACAGATTTTTTCTTACGGCCCTCAATAGCAAAGCCTATTTTTAACAACTACACCAAAAAACCTCTCAAGGGGAATATTAGTTCCAAAAGATATTATAATGAACTGGACTCAACAAACTTAAATGTTTCTAAATGTAGAATTTTGCCATATTTCTTATATATTCAAGGATTTAATGGGTCTGTGAGGAGACATATATATAATAACATATGTCCAAAATACATTGGACCACTTTTTTTTCCTTGAGACTGAGTCTCACTCTATCTCCCAGGCTAGAGTTCAGTGGTGCAATCTCAGCTCACTGAAACCTCCACCTCCTGGGTTCAAGTGATTCTTGTGCCTCAGCCTCCTAAGTAGCTGGGATTACAGGCGCCCGCCACCACACCTGGCTAAATGTTGTATTTTTAATAGAGTCAGGGTTTCACCATGTTGGCCAGGCTAGTCTCAAACACCTGACCTCAAGTGATCCGCCCACCTCAGCCTCCCACAGTGTTGGGATTACAGGCGTGAGCCACCACACCTGGCCTGGACTACTTTTTATATTGTCTCCCCAAACATGGGTGCTATAGAAGACACTTTGGCCAACCTTTCCTCTCGTAAGTAGCACATTCACATGGCTCTAAGTCTTATCTCCAAACTTCCCGTCTTTCTCTCTCATCTTTTCTCAGTCAGGTGCGACTGAGGCCAATCTAATGTGTAGCGCTTTGCCATGGTATATCCATTTTAATAAGCATTCCTTAGTAAAGTCTGCTTTCAGGTACCATTCAGTAAGTATTAAAGAGAAGGCGCATTGCCTTCTTAAGCATTCCTGATACCACATCATAAAGGTAGTCACTTCACATAGATATAAGTGTAGTATTCTACTTACGCATTTCTCATCCAGGATAAGCAATCAAATCACAAAGACCATAACCAACATATAGGGTGAAGTGGAAATCTGAAATGGATAAAAAATGTTCATTCTAAATGAAAAAATTGGGATAATGTTTTTATTTTTAGTGTTGGTAAAGCCTGGCATCCTACTGCTACTTTACTTTGGCATTCCAAGTGTTAAAATGGGTTCACCTTTCTTTCCTGAATGACTTCTTTGGATGTAACACCAAGATCAAACGTTAATGTGGGAGCTGACAAGCCTGTCCTTTCTTCGGAAGATAGCAAAGCATGTGATGTTTCCATACTGACATACACCAGGAAGTAGTGAATGTTTATTATTGTTGTTGTTGCTATTATTTTTTATTATTATTTTATCATGTAAGACACACTGACTTACATGAAACCTCTGGAAGTTTCACATAAAAAAATAAACACAGAAGAAAGATAGATACATTATCCTTTTACATATGTACAGCACCATGCTGAGAAAAATGCTTTGGTCACTGGCTCCAGATAAATACAGAAAACTTTAGCCTAAACTTGAATAATTAAACGTGAATGGTGTTATTTCTAGAGCATGGCCACCAACTGAAAAAACTTTCACTTTTGTATTTTTCCTTTAAAAAAAAAAAAAATACATGAGATTGGCCCTGTTGATACTCAGGAAATGACACCCCAAACTATGATGCCTTGGCATGCTGAGTATTGTGAACTAACGGAAATTGGGAAGGCCTCAGTACCATGTCTTTCTGACCTTTGCCCATTCTCCAGTTTCCCACTCATTTTCTCTCACAAAGCAAACCCTAAAAACAGGAATTCCTCTTCCCCAATGCAGTCATTGAAACTAAAATTTTTCTCTCCCAAAGTAATCATAAAGCCTACAGGAGTCACTCTCTTTCTCTCCTCCCTTCTCCCTCTGAACACCTTCATTCCAAAGGGGTCTGGCTCCACACCCAGGAGGAAGGAATGCTATTCAAACAGGCCAAGAAGAATCTGAACAAATGGGCCTTGCTGGGATCCCCCCACCCTCGGTCTCTCATGCTTAGATCATGCCTTTTTGTTCAATCTCATTTCTATATGGCTAGGAATTCTTCACTGAACATAAACATAAAAATAGACAGGTTTCCTGGGTCTTTCAGTCTTCATTGCTGAAGCCTTCCATATCACAAAAAACTTTTTTATTTGTTTGTTTTTGAGACAGTCTGGCTCTGTCATCCAAGCTGGAGTGCAGTGGCGCAATCAGCTCATTGCAACCTCTGCCTCCCAGGTTCAAGTGGTTCTCCTGCCTCAGCCTCCCAAGTAGCTGGGATTACAGGTGTGCACCACCACATCTGGCTAATTTTTTGTATTTTTAGTAGAGATGGGGTTTCAACATATTGGCCAGGCTGGTCTCGAACTCCTGACCTCAAGTAATCTGCCTGCCTCAGCATCCCAAAGAGCTTGGATTACAAACATGAGCCACCACACCCGGCTAAAACCTTTATTAAATCGATTTGTCATTCTTTTCTCTTGTTAACCTGTCTCATTATTGGAGCGTGGGCCATAACCCTAATGAGTGACGAAAGGTAACACATCTCCTTGCTCCTATAACACTATATGCAGAACTAACTTGAAATTATAAATGAATGACTTTTAAAAAATGAAAAATAAGTGATTATTCTAAGAGAATAGTAATGTACTCTGCTTAGAGATAACTTAAAAGAGACATTAAAATAAAAATAAAGGTGTAGATATACTCATTTTTTTGTTTTGGTACCATTAGAACTATTATTCATCATTACTGGCCATTTTTCATGGTGAGGAAGAAAAAGACAGCAAAAGCAATGATATGTTTGATTTTCCTCTAAATGATATGAATGAAACCTACAGGGATATGGCAAACAAAGCAAGAGAAAAGATTACTCCCATCTCTGCAAAATGAAACACGCTACAATGTTTTTTTCCTCCAAGACTGAGATAAGGCTATAAATAAACACACAATATGGGGTTTTTCCCCCCCAAAAATTTGGAAAATATTCTAGTTTAACACGATTATGTAGTCTGTCACTGTTTTCAAAAATTGCATTAAGCCCATAAACCCAATCTAATTGGCAGATTTTTAAAAAGGCTGTTTATGTTTACAGATCCTAATGCTTGTGAGAAAACAAATACCCATTTCCATTTCCTTTGCTTCTCCACACATCATGCTGGTGACAGATGTTTCTGAACAGTTTCAATGTCCCTGTCTAAATAGAAAATGCACACTTAATGATACCCATGTGTGTATATTTATATTTCTAGTCCTATCTTTATATATCTACAAAAAGATTATTCCCCTTGTTAATTATAGTCCTATTCAATATTAATGAATTATTGGCAGAAAGATCCTTTTTATGTATATCTCTACACACAAAAGATCTGTTTTTGTACATTATGATGAGTATAGATACTCACTTATGTTTGCTTGTAAATGTAAATGGTCGCAGTGTTTAATATATTTTTCTTTTAAAAGCTTAAACTTCATATGCTTATTTTCGAGGCATATAGGCAAGGTATCATTTATTGTGAGAGAGTAAAAGAAATGCAGCTTAGTGTCAGCTCTGCTGTCTTTGACTAATCTGCAAGCCACCCACTTTAATGGCTCTTCATAAATAATTCAAATTTTAATTATGCTGCCAGCCTCTGACCTGAAGAGAAATGAAGAAAGAAAAGGGAAAGAATGGGCCAGGGAAAACATATCAGTTGAATCAAATTATGCCTCCAGTAAATGACTTCGTGTCTCACAGCTCCACTTTCCTACTCAAGACACACCTGCTTCCTCATCTGTGATTTTTAAAAATAATATCAGTGTCATCCAAGATACACCATTGATGATTAACTATTTAATTTCTCTGTACCATATTTACAAATACTCACTTTTAGATGAAAATATATACCTAGATTACAATAGAGCCTCCTAACCAGACATCTGCCATTTCAGATGGGAGATGTTCTGTCTCCTAAAAAGTCACTGGAGTTCATCATATTATCAAGCATGTACATATCACTGCAATGACACATCAGGTCTCTGTTACATTTAAAAAAAAGAAACACACACATAAGTCTTCTTCCAATCCCAGGTCTTATAAGTTATTGTTGGAAGAAAGGCTGCCAAATGAATGGCTGGCTGAATAGATTTAGGAACATCTAACTGCATCTGTCACACAGAAAGCTGGCCAAGGTAGATCTGACAGGCGATACATGGCTGAATGATCTCTTCCCACCTAAAAACATCCTTTAATTGCATCAGGTCTCTCAATCCACAGTTGAGCATCTGCTCATTAGAACCAAAGCACTATTTCTCAAATTGAAATGCTGAATCTCACTGTATAATTTTCTTCTAAATATTACCTTACAATTTTCCTAAAGCAAGTAAACCCAGTCATATTTGACATAAGATCTCTGGGGCCAAATCTAATCTATGCATATTAACAATTTTTCCTCTAAAGTTTTTTTTTGATGTCAGTATAATTTTTGTCCTTCTATCTATTTAACAAAGAACACATTTGGATATCATTCAAGAAATTCCCACATCCCGTTTACAATAGGTTCTTTTGGTTTATTTGGGGGACTCACAGATACATATCCCGAAGTTGATTTAATCTGCTCTGAGTTCCCTTTTATTTCTTAATAACTACCTTATATTGCAAGCCCTTATGGAAGATTTGGAAAATCTATTGGACTTTATCTATTATTTAGCTGTCTCAAAGATGAATTTATCTTAAAATTATATCATTCTTTAACCACTTGCCATTATTTGTAGCCCATTTTCCATTTTCTTATGTCCTAAAATTTTGACTTTTCAATCATTTCCCCTTTTTTCCCCCCTTATCTGGGATTTGATTCTGAAAACTGAGAGGCAATAAAGAATCTCTTAGAATCTATATTTTTGGTAACTTATTTTATTGGTCTAATCTCAATAAAGAACCTGTATTTTTGGCAACTTATTGCTCCAACTCTGTCTATATCATGATAAAACAGTTAGACAGAAATATAATCTAGCTCATTAAACTGTCTATTTGATCTATAAGATGGCAAATTTATTTGTGTGTGTGCATCTTTATAATGTACCATTTCTTATAAAATTATGTTGAGAAAGTCTTACAGGAGCCATTCAATTACCTTGAAAAAGACCACAAAAGCATTTTTATTCAATAAACCAATTTGGAAGATGAAGGAGAAACTGTCTGGCTGTTAGATAATAATTAGGTGCATCTTCTTTGTCTATGTATAATCCAGGTTTTGATTTAAGATCCACAAGTGCAGGGTGCTATTTGTTATCAGTTGACAGCCTACTTTGTAGGTCACTGCTGTTCTAATACACTTGTGCTTCTACCAATTTAGATAAGAAAATGCTTCTCTAAATACTCTTTAGTTAGTTTGGAGAAAATTACATGAAAATGATTGTGAATTTACAAGTAGAAATATAACAGTCGTAGAAATCAACTCATAAGAAGTATTTTATGAAACCCCAAATGCAGTAGGTCAGTGCTTCCCATCAGAAGTCTATTGGAAAGAAAGGTTTTCACCTAATTCTTTTTTTTTTTTTTTTTTTTTTTTTTAAGATGGAGTTTTGCTCTTGTCGCCCAAGCTGGAGTGCAATGTCACAACCTTGGCTCACTGCAACCTCCACCTCCTGGGTTCAAGCAATTCTCCTGCCTCAGTCTTCACAGTATCTGGGATTACAGGTGCCCATCACCATACCCGACTAACTTCTGTATTTTTAGTAGAGATGGGGTTTCACCATGTTGGCCAGGCTGGTCTTGAATATTTGACCTCAGGTGATCCACCTGCCTCTGCCTCCCAAAGTGCTACAATTACAGGCATGAGCTACCTCGCCCAGCCTCAACTAAGTCTTAACAAAAATGTGTTTGACCGTTTTCTATGCTCAGCTAAATTGTAAGAACTATATTATCTTAAAGAAGACTGAAGCCGGCCGGGCACGGTGGCTCACGCCTGTAATCCCAGCACTTTGGGAGGCCGAGGCAGGTGGATCACGAGGTCAAGAGATCGAGACCATCCTGGTCAACACGGTGAAACCCCGTCTTTACTAAAAATACAAAAAATTAGCTGGGCACGGTGGCGCGTGACTCTAATCCCAGCAACTCAGGAGGCTGAGACAGAATTGCCTGAACCCAGGAGGCTGAGGTTGCGGTGAGCTGAGATCGCGCCATTGCACTCAGCCTGGGTAACAAGAGCGAAACTCCGGCCGGGCGCGGTGGCTCACGCCTGTAATCCCAGCACTTTGGGAGGCCGAGGCGGGTGGATCACAAGGTCAAGAGATCGACACCATCCTGGTCAACATGGTGAAACCCCGTCTCTACTAAAAATACAAAAAATTAGCTGGGCACGGTGGTGCGTGCCTGTAATTCCAGCTACTCAGGAGGCTGAGGCAGGAGAATTGCCTGAGCCCAGGAGGCAGAGGTTGCGGGGAGCCGAGATAGCGCCATTGCACTCCAGCCTGGGTAACGAGAGCGAAACTCCGTCTCAAAAAAAGAAGAAGAAGAAGAAGAAGACTGAAACCAAAAAGTATCTGATTTGTTTGATATATCCATTTCTATCACAGGACAAACTACTTCTGAAATACTTTTATCCATCAAAAAATCTATTAAACTCTATGCAAAACTCTCAAAGATGAATCTATCTTAAAATTATACCATTCTTCAAACATTAGCCTAGAAGTTTCCAGCGAATGTGTACAGATATAGCCTTCCTAAAACTGCCAAGTCAATTTAGATTCAAATAGATTCAAGACAAATATCAAAATCCTAACATGACTCTTTATAAAAATAGCATTTATTTTTCAGTGAAAAATATATTCATGAAAAAGGCTATACTAATGTTTTGATTCAAAGGATAAGCACTTTTTATATGTGCGCGCGTGTGTGTGTATGTGTATAAAATGCCTTTACTTACCTTTACTTACATTTTGCCCATTTCTCTTCAGATTGTTAATCTTGTGCGTATTGATCTGTAGAGCTGACTTTCTGATATAAATACAACCTTAGAGTTCATAAGTGTCACAGTTATTTATGTCCCAGAACCAAATGAAATGAAATTCAAATTTTAAAGAAGCTCAGAATAATGTGTTTGCTAACAATTCATCTAAGATCTTCAATTATAGTACCTAATTGTATAACATGGGATTATTGTATAGCATTACTGGGTACTCATCTGTTTCTCCCATTAGCCTGGAAGTTCTTTGACTCTAACTGTTCTAAATAGAATCCTTCTTTTTTGAGACAGAGTCTCACTCTGTCACACAGGCTGGAGGGCAATGGTATGATCTTCGCTCACTACAACCTCCACCTTCTGGGTTCAGGCAATTATCCTGCCTCAGCCTCCCAAGTAGTTGGGATTGCAGGCACCCACCACCACACAAGGCTAATTTTGGTATTTTTGGTAGAGACGGGGATTTGTCATGTTGGTCGGCCTGGTCTCAAACTCCTGACCTCAGGTGATCCGCCCACCTCAGCCTCCCACAGTGCTGGGATTACAGGCGTGAGCCATTGTGCCTGACCAGAATCCTTCTTTTAATAACCATTACCTCATACTTTTCCTCATTTACAAGGGCAAACATGATTGTCTTACTGTATTGAAGAAAGTAAAGCTTTTGAAAGTCCTTAAACCTATAGACTCTCAAAGCTGCTTGTTTGGACAACAAAAATAAATGCATTAAGAATTATTTTGCTACTTTTGGCAAATTAAATCACTTAAATGTTTTAAAGAGGCAGAAAAAAAAATCTACGTTTGGCATAAAGTTTTGTTTTTATCGTTTTACCCAAAAGTATTTGTGAAATATAAGTGGAGTTTAGAAAGATTAAAATTGTTCAAAAAATACAGTGTTATAATTGCATCAAAGTTAAAATTTGCTTTTTGTAAAGGAAATTTCATGGTAAATCTCTATGACAATGTTTCAATATTAAATACTCAGTAAATACTTAACTGAACATAAAATATCACAGATATGATATTAACCTTTAAAGGTTCTTTTGCAAAAATAAATAAAAGTAAGCAAAGGTATTATGGAGAGAACCTGAAACATACTGCTTAATGTTTATTTCATTACAAAACTTTATTGGGGGCAACCAAGTTATTCACTCTCCTTCCAACTATATACTTAGTACATTTTTTCTTCTCTTCTTCTTACTCAACCAAAACCAGAAATATCCACACAGAAGAGTTAATTATTGGGGATGTGTGGACCACGGTTAGGCAAAATGTTGAGAAATTATCTGGGCTATGTGGAGCAAGCTGTCCTGCATGAAAAGTTAAATTGGGCTTTAGGGAAAGTGGGAATGGAACGAGAATTTGTGAGACACCTGACAGCAAAGGGGTGGAAAAAAGAGGACAGAATTAAAACTGGTAAACAGTATTCAAAAACAAGAAGCCTTTCCAAGACAGTAAATCCAAAAAGCCTTTAAATAGCATAAGACAAGAAAAAGATAAGGAAGAAAAATAAGGGTGGCTAGGAAGCTTTCATCCAGAGCTCCTGCTAAATAGCATAAGACAGAAAAAAGATAAGGAAGAAAAGGGTGACCAGGAAGCTTTAATCCAGAGCTCCCAATGGAAAGAGAGGCTGGCAACAGGAAATTGAAAAGACAGCGGTTCTGGCCAGAGCAGGAGCACACGATCAAATAACATAGAAAAATTGATAGGAACTGCAAACAATTTTTAAAAGAAAGTTGATGCCCCTCTTGCATCCTCTTTCTTATTTATGCAAAACTGAAACCTAGATGTCTTCTTTTCTATCAATGCTCACCTTCAGCGACCAAACAAGACCTACAAATAGTCCCCTTTTTCATCTATCTCCCCTCTCCCCTATTTGCAGAAGAATGATCTCCCTTTAAGTTGCCTTTACCATCCTGAATTTCTGCAATAGCCTCCTTGGTAGCTTCCTGCCTCTGATTTTGAACCCCTCTGACTCATATACCCCTTAGAGCTGCCAACGTAAATTGACAAACATACCAATTCTTATTCTTCTTTTTTCATGCATTGTACAGATAAGCCATAGAATTCAAATCCAGATGTGTCCACCCTTAAATGTGAAGGACTACGAGGGCAGATGATAAACGAGACCCTTCACTACTGACCTCGACCTACTTTTCCAGCTTCATGTCTCACCATTTTCTGCATGCTTCATAACTTTGCATTGTGTACTGAAATTCTCTAGAATATTCTCTGTACTTAAGGAGTCAGAGAACTTATCTATATGTTTCCACGGACTTGTGCATCTATAGGAATTACTTGTTTATTTAGCAGTTTTCCCCCACTGGCCTATAAGTTCTTTAAGGCAGACACTGCCTTTCTACTCGATATCCTTTGTAGCTAGCTTAATGTCCAGAACATAAGAGGTACTTACTAAACATTTTCTAAGCAAATGACTGAGGCATCACCAACACAGGAAGAAAGTAGCAGACACAATTAATCCCTTCATTTACATTCTCCCCTCTTCTAGTGTCACAGCAATTTTTTCAAGCTCCAATTCACTTTTCTTATTATTAAAGTGCTTCAGTAGATGAACAATGTTACCAACAGTCAACACAAACTTTACTGACATAGTCATAAAAAAATCACCTATGAAATCACTCAAATGTTTTTCTATGTTGTAACAGCAATTACCATTGGAGGTTGAGGCATCTAAGACACAAAGAGCAAACAAGAAAGACTGTTGCCTTATTTTGTTACACAGTTCTGTATCAGTGTTCTACCCTTCTAATTTTTATATCTTGAATTCCAGCTTTATAGACCCATAACTTGGCTTTCTATCTAACTAAATTCTTCAGCCATTTCTGACATGCCCCGTTAATGCTTTTTTTTTGTTTTACATTTTTAGTATTTATCCACATATCTTCTTGCTCTTGAGTCATTAGCTATTCCCCAAACTCAAAAGGTAGCTATTGTTCTGACTTCTATTACTATAAATTAGGTTTGGCTAATTTACTTATTCTTTTACTTCATGTATATTGAATCATATAACACATAGTCTTCTCCATCTGGCTTCTTTGGCTCATCGCTGAAGTTGTGAGATATTGTTGCAGCATACAGCAGTACTTTGTTCTTTTTATTGCTGTGCAGTATTCTGTGTATGTATATACCTGAGTTTCTTTTCCAGTCTTTTGCTAAAGGACATTTGGGTTGTTTCCAGAAAAGGACTATTGTGAATAAAAATGTGTATCTGTTGGAAACATGTACTCATTTCTGTTGGAAATATCCTAGGAATTGCCGGATCGTAGGGTAGGTACTGCCAAAGAATTTTCCAAAGTGGTTTCTGTGAAATGGATATCCACACATCTAATGTATTTAAGTTCCAATTTCTCCATATATTAGCTCCTCTCTTCTACCCACATTTTGAAACTTTTTTTAAGTGTGGCCATTCTATTGAATTTCTACACAGACTCTTTCAAAGTCTTCATTACTAAACTCCTATTAACCACTTCTTTGGGTTTCACTCATTGTTTAACTTCATTATGGCCTCTGCCTAACTAGTCTTATTTCAAACCAACTGTATTTTTTCCATAATCATCTTTCTTGAACTGTATTCCTTATTTAACTACCGACTGCTCCTTTATCCAAACTCCTTCCCTTGCTGCATCAGATGACAGATGAATGTCATAATTCTCGTGAGACTCCAGCTCTATTTCATTCTTCCACTCTATAAATACAATGTTTTAACCCCAGATTCAGGCCTCTGCTCTTGCTTTTCTAATGTCGAATGTCACCTAAATGAAAGTACATATTCACTATCATCCTCTCTCTCAGAGGTGTCAATCTTTTAATTCGATTTGCTGTTCGACAGTTATAGCAAGAGAGTCTGCCATCACCTCAAATTCATCATGCAGAAAAGGAAGGTACTGCTTTCTCTAGAACCTAGATCCTCTCTAGTCCAAATACCATCATGCACACAGTCATTCAATCTGAAGATCTGAGTCATTTATTTGTACTTATTTCTCCCCTACGTGCACTAAATGAATAAAGTCTCTTGATTCTTAACAAATTTTGTCTCCTTTATCATTTAAAAATATAGTTATTCATTAAAACAGAAAACTTTTAATTATAATTATATTCAATTTCTACCATCCACAAATGAACCCATTACCACTAGTCAAATTTCGCATTTGCTAATTTTTAATTTATTGACTATGGTTCTCAGACTATCTTTAATACCACCACCATTAACAAAGCAATAACCATCATGCCACATTTCTGAACAAATATATTCTCCCTTTTATGTGTAACAAATAGTACATTATTTTATTCTTTCTATTTGGAAGTTGAGAAAAAATAAGCTTTCGATGCACAGTTATCAATTAGAGCCAAGGAGATAAAGAGGCATGAAGAGTAGGGTAAATGGCTAGACCAGGAAAGCAACTAATTACAAGGGAAAACTCTAATAAGCATTTTCTTCTTTCCTGAATCTATTTCAACTTTTTCAAAATAAATACTAATTTATAATCCTAGACAGTAGATGATGGATAAATGGCTAGACCAGGAAAGCAGCTAATTACAAGGGAAAACTCTAATAAGCATTTTCTTCTTTCCTGAATCTATTTCAACTTTTTCAAAATAAACAGTATTTATAATCCTAGACAGTAGATAATGGACCAATCCAAACAGTACTAAAAAAAGTGAAAATAAATTTACACAAGTCAAAATTCAATTAAGCAGAAACCCAAATTGAGTAATTTATGAGAGAAAACTTCTTACAGAATTTTTCTCTCCATATAATCTCTAAAAGACAGATATTCTATAAAACATAAATAGAATCTAAATTGTAGCATTCCAGCTTTTAGAAAGGAAAAAGTTTGATAGCAAGAGTATTCGAATGTGTGACAAAAATGTAAAATAGCCCTGATTGAGGAACTTTTGTACTATAGGCAGTCCAGTGGCAGCATCAGTCATCCAATAGTAACCATAGTTGCAGTAATGTGGTCAGCACTCTCAATACGCAAGTGAGAAGCTGGAAAAAATTACTCTAGTGGCTTTAAAATATGTTTACACATTTTTTTGATACATTTTCCTTCCAGTGGTCGGCTGGATATAGCAACCCACTTCCCACAAATAGCATAAAGTAGAAGGGACAGCATGCAACGTAAGAGACTAGATTTAGGTTGTAAAAGGCACTATGAATCCCTCCTTGTGCTTTCTTGAACTGGTCACTCTTGGGGAAGTTAGCTCCCATGGTCAGGCCACATGGAAAGAAGCCCAGGTGGCAAGGAACTGAGGCTCCTGCCAATAGCCACGGATACAAACAACCTGAAAAGTGGATCTTCTGAAAACAAAAGAATAAAGGTCCTACCAAGAAAAAAAAAATCAGTTTAATATCCCAGTACTTCTTTTGGTAAACTTTCTTCTGAATGTTGCTATTTGTTGCTATTATAAATAACATTGCTTTCTTCATTTCCAAAATACTATGTGCACAATGATAATGTAAAAAGTAGATATTGCAGCACCAAGCAAGCCTTCAGAGAACAGCCACCGAAGAAACCCTGAGAAAGACTCACCCAGGTAGGCCACTCCTAAATTCCTGACCTGTGGAAACTGTAAGATGAGAAATGTTTGCTAGTTTAAGCCACTTTATTTTGAGGTAATTCATTATATGTAGCAATAAGGAAATGTAGTAATAAAGAATTAGTATTACTATCTAATAAACAAGATTGATATTATGTTCTAAATAAAATCACAAAATAAAATTAAATAAGATAAAAGTGAGATGCCATTTGTTATCTATCAACTTCGTTGACTAAAAAATAATATCCAGTGTTG